CAGATAGTTATAGGTCAAGTTTGAACTTTTAAGTAAATTTGAATGATGTTTTGAAAAGGTGTACGCTGAAAATCTGTCATTTAATTGATAAGTTTATCAGCAGAGAATTAACCAATGGCATTTTTGATGATCAAAATATTATTTTTTTCATTTAGCAAGTAAAATATTAAACTGTATAGCTATTTTTTTTTACTTTTTTCGAAGACAAAACAATTTGAAGATGCACCCTTGACTCTCAGTGTCTTGTGTGTCGTAGTGATTTTGTACGTTAGTTCCATAAAGTTTAAAAAACAGCGGAAGCCAGGATACCCTGACTTTTCAAAAAACAGTTCCTACATTTGCCATAATACAACTGGATAGTGTCTTTCATTAAACCCCCTTTGCCTCTTAATTGTCCACTTCTTTCACGCCCCATGTCTCCGGTTTGTAACTCAGACTTTATCTTAAAAATGATAAGCTTTATGTTCAAATTTATAAAACTTATATCTCCAAGCAGTTGTTTAAACTGGTTGACAAGGTGACAGATCTATGGTGTGACGATATAAAAGGTCAGTGTTATATTTTAACAGACAGAACAGTGATGACTGTAGCTGCTAATGTCACAATTCACAAACAATAACTAAGTAGGACATGAACATTTTGAGGACATATTATTTATATAAAATGAACAACCGAAACTCACTAACCCTGAATTCTGTGCACAGATCTGGATGACTGTCTTTGAGCTGCTTCCATAAGTTTGAGGTGTTTTCCTCTTGTGGCGCCTTTTGTCCCTGATGATCCGCGTCGCATACTAAATATCTCCATACATCAGTCGTGGTGCGTTTTCTTTTTTCCCCACCTGACCTGTTTACTGTGTCCGTCTTCTTCTTCTCTCCGAGTTTGATGTCAGACTAGAATACACGTAGTGTTATTATACCGCTATTGTCAGTCCTGGAGGAGTCATATGTCCTAGTATCTACGGTGCCTTTGGTATTTACACTACTGCAGAAAAACAAGTAGTAGTATATTCATAACACCAAATAAACTTGGTACCGAAGCATTGGTACTCGTGACATCCCTGTGACACCGGAGCCGTGGATGATATATCACAGCGGACTAGTTCTTCTCATGATAAGCAAACTGAGCGTAATTTGCAAAATCACCGAGTGCTCCTGTAATAGATAATGTAAGTAATTGTCAGTTGCAGCCCTGCATTTAACTGTCCAACGCCACAAGCTGTGGTCAATCTAATGCATATCCTTGATAATAGATATTTTTCAAGTCAGACAAGGAATACACTGTAATTCAAAGTAAGCAGTATTTGGTGAACAGTGTTCAGTGTCGTTTAGCGGCTGTAACGGTGAGAGTGGAAAAGGCCGCAGTGAGAAGGCGTCTGTCTTTGTCTGAGCAGAGGATGTGACATTTACATTGCCCACTAAACCGGCAGCACACAGCAGATTCTGCATGGCCAGGATTGACCAGGCACCCGTCAACTTCCCTTTATCCCCGCTGTGCCCCATCCCACCCCCTAATCTGCCCTGATCGATGGCCCTGGATCGTCGTCACCCGGCAACCAAGGATGACACCAAAGCGCTCACAGCGTGTGCTACCTAACAATCAATGTGCCGCCTCACAGCTATAGAAACAATATCAGGAATGGGACTGAGGGTGAGATACTTCAAGGAAGGCTAGAAAGAAAGGAGGATGGGTGGGTGGGGGGGGGGGGGACAACACAGAGCTCCTGTCAGCGGTATGATGAATGGTGTACTCGACTGGATGGCAAGATGGCATCATCATGCCGCAGTGCCAGACTACACTGGGTTTAAAGCAGGCTCAGGTAGAGAAAAACACCCCTGCCTTTCGGTTTTGTGTTGGGCGTAACGACCTGTGAGGGATGGACACAGCAGGTCCTTAGATCTGCAGAGAAAGTCGGTTTTATATCCTCATTCGGCTCCTGAGGACAGGCCGTTCTGACCTGAGCCGTAAAAATGACGAACTGAAACAGATGCTGATTTGTCACAGTGAAATCCATTTCAACATTAGAACTGGATGACTCTCATCAATAATGAGTTCGGCGATAATCGACTCGGTGGCCACACTTGGGGGGGGGGTTAGGATTAGGTTAGGGTCTTGGCTTGAGATGTTGATATCATAAATAGTACTGAGCGATGTGTCATGTCTAGGTGTTTTCTTTCTTTTCTTTGAGGTTTCAGACTTACGGCACAGACACACACTTCCTGTGGTGACCTTAGCCTCCCTCCGAGGAACTTTCATGTCTATCTATAGAAATAGCACATCATTTGTATTGTGGTAGTATGTCACTTCTTTACACTCTACTGCTCAGTGAGCTTACCATAAAAGCACTGATTTAAATAGGTTTACTATCAGACCTTTTCTTTTTACTTCTCATCTTTCACTCACTCTCACTCTGCTGCTTATGGTGTATGTACCACGATTGAAGCTTTAGGGTAATACTCCTCTTTCTCCCTCTTTTTCCCTCCACCTCTTTAGAAACGTGTGTGTGTGTGTGTGTGTGTGTACGCGTGGCTGAGACAGCTTGTGAAGCCTGTAATTGAGTGTGTCCGCCCACCGCGTTGCAGCAGAGACAGCGCAGTGGAAGACTTCATTGTGTAGGGCACAATAGATACGTACACATACTCATCACACCCGTGTGCGACTCTTGCCACAGAACCACAACACTGAGGAGCCATTAGCAGATGGCGACGGCACGGTGTGTGTTGTCGTAGATGTTTGCGGCCTGACTTTGCCACTCGAGCGTCACCTCAGCGTTACCTCCAGCGCTTATCAGCAGCAAACCCGAAAATATCCTTTTATCTCTTCCTGAGCTGTAACCTATATAGGAGATAGGATCAGTTTATTTTACCTCTTCGGACACACTGAACGTGTTTAGGATTAGAGCACAAACTGTTTCCCTCGGGCTGCTCTTGCTCTTAAAACCACACTTCTCTGGGTAAAAAACAAAAAAACATGCATTTCTGTGCATATGTGTTGTGTGTAGAGGTGTGTGTGTGTGTGTGTATGTTGGGAAAGAAAGTGAGACTGGACTTTAAGCGGTGGTTGCTATGGTTCCCTGTTGCGAGGACCCACTCAATCACCATGTACAATACCAGTATACATTTTTTTTCTTTCACCACACCCGCTGCAAGAAATAGTCTGGTCGAGCCAAGTGTCATCATAGACTGTATGTCCACGGGTTTTGCTGATATGATACCGGCCGCACCGGACCATGTCGAGAACAGATAATAAGTTGTGGTTTCCTGATGTGTGCTTGTGGCTCTCTATCAGTTTTTCTGACAAACCATATTGAAGTCAAATCTGTTGTCTGAATTGTCATGCTGTCACGTTCTGCCATCAGCATGACCTTATTTGTAACGCTGAATTTGCATCGGTGCGACACCATGCCGGCCCGAGGGCTCCAAAGTTCATAGTCATAAAGCAGGGATGGATGTGTGTGAATGTAAATTAGATTTCAGGCATTAAGGGGTTAAGTTTGAAGATGCAACGCAGGTAACAATATCACTTGAACTGAAAGTGCCGGTGAATATTTTAGATGGTATTTAAGTTTCAAATTCTTCTGAGTGATGTAAGGTGGATTCATACTTGAGTCAAAGTAGCAGTAGTGCAATATAACAATGCCCAATTACACGTAAAAGTCCTGCAAGCTTGTATTATCAGCAAAATGTGCTTAAAAAAATCAAAAGTAAAAAGCACTCAATATGCAGTGGAACAGGCCATTTAAGTGAAATTTTATTATATATATATATATATATATATATATTTTAAAGCTTTGGTGTTGCTTTGGATAAAAGCACCTGCCAGATGAATAAATGTAAATTTACATTTTTTGATTTAGCTTTCATTACCGATTCATTTAAATGTCATAGCTTGTTGAAGAGGAGCTATTTTTATGTCGTGCTGTGTACTTTAACCCAAAGTGGCAAAGGCAAAGCATCATATTTTATAAACTGATTATAAGTTTTATATGTAATATCATAACCTGCAAAGGAACTAGTAACTGTAAGTGTCAAAAACATGTAGTGGAGTAATATTATTTCCCTCTGAAATGTAAAGTAGAAATACTCTAGTACAAGTTCCTTGAAATTGTACAATTGTGTTCAAATGTACTTAGTTACATCCCACTGCTGATTTTAATGTCAGATTTTAGAGCTGGGTATTGAACCTTGATGCTTTTTGAGTATGGACCAAAATGTGGCTGTAGTGTGAAGTATCAAAAAATGTAGTGAAACATAGAAAATAAATACTCTTAGATCAGACGTCATGTGTTTTCCTGTAAGTCATAACTTTGCAAGTTTTATTCTGTATGGAAGCTTGTGTCAGCACCCGTCCATTAGCTATACTGCTTATCCTTTGAGGGTTGTGCCCTCGTCCTGGACAGGACAGCGGTGTATCTCAGGGCAGACGTATAGAAAGTAAAAACAACCATTCACACCTACGGGCAATTTAGAGTTGCCAACTAACATATCCTGACCTGCATGTGTTTGGAGTGCGGGAGAAACCTTGAGGAAAACCCACACAGGCACGAACATGTGAACCTGCAAAGTGCGCATGAACACAGACACAGCCAGATCCTTCCTGCTGACGTCAGTGTTAACGGCTGCGGCACCTTGCTGTTGACATCAGGGAGCCAGATAGGTATTCTTCTTGTAATCACTACTCAGTTATTTACTGGCATCATACAGAATCAAAAATTTACATAATATACATTTCACCAAGAAATGCAACGACCAATGAAATGACGCTCTTTCAAGCTAAACGAGTTTCTGAGCGAAAATACCACCACGCCAGCCCTGAATGTAAACAACCGCTGATTATCTCCCTCTGACTCACAGCGAGGAGCGGCATGCAAAATAACTTGACCACACAACTATTCCAAACATGCGGAAACGGACACACACACAGAATTTCATTTTCTTTCTCTCTTTTGCTTCATAATTGACTCTCGATCCTGCCTCTTCTGTCTTCTTTTTTGTGTTCAGTGAAAGGCACGAGAATCAATCCAGCCAGAGGTTAACGAGGGGGAAAGACGAAGCGCCAAGGAACGATGGAGTCCACATCATCGGAGCAGTCGGCCACAGTGGACGAGCTGGTGGAGGCGTGCATTCAGGCCTTCGGTCGGTCATTTGAATATTGTCTCTCTGTTATGAATGATTAGTTTTATTCCAGAGTGAAATGAAACTTTGTTCATTTTCACACCTTGACTGACTTACACATTGACTATCAAAATAGATACAAACTAACTGACGGCAGGTGATACTTGCCCTGTATAGCTTCCTAACGATGAGTGGTGCCCTGTGTTTATGTTTCAGATGAGAAGGGCACTTTGAAGGATACTTCCTTGGTCCGTATGTTCCTCATGATGCACCCTTGGTACATCCCTTCAACGGACATGGCTAAGAAGCTGGTGCTCAAGTATCCTTCATCTTTGTTTTGTGCTAGCCAGGGACATATTTATATTATTTATATATATATTTACAGTATGTATGTATATATACTTTATATACACTGCTCACGGAGCCATTAAATCAAAGCCACATCCCTTGTAGGGCTTTGGGATGGAAAGGGACCTCGAGCCCGACTGTGTTTTTCTGTCTTTTTGGTTCGCAGTCTTGATGAGATTTCAGTCAGAGATGTTACAATTTTGTAGCCAGGTTGCACCTTGACTAGTGGATCAGAGATCAAGAGGAGAGCTGCACCGCTGAGCGCCGAACAAAAATATGCCACCTTGTCAAGTAATGAACTCTCTTGTCTGTCTGACTTTTACCCCTCTAGTGCTTTTACTTTCTGAACTTTAGTCTTTCCAGATGTGATTTCTAATTTTCTTCCTACCCTTCCTTGTTTTGCTCTGTTCTTTTCTTTCTAATATACTTGATTTATGGTTTTTAGTGTTTCCAGTTGAATAGTGACAGTATCAATTCCTACAGAGACTGTGTTTTGTCGTGTTATAGAATGGTTTTAAACTTAGTGTTGGCAACAGCCACATTATTATGGAGATGTAAACAAGTCTATCTTCCTCTATTTTTCTCAGTATTTTCATCATCGTCTCTCTGAAAGCCTTTGTTCTGCCTTTCAGGTACTGGATCTCTGAGTTTCCAGCTGAGTTCAATCTGAACCCGGAGCTGGCAGACCAGATCAAAGACTATAAAGACCTCTTGACCACCGAGGGCAACGAGAGGCAGAGTCAGCTCATTGACCTCGAGAGTGTGTGAGTGAATCGGCTGCAGAAAGCTGTGTGTGCTGTTGACAGTTGTGAATGCGCCTTTCTGTCTGTGGGTGTTTATCTCAGCGTGACCTTTCAGTAACTGTTCTCAGACATTGCTCGGCTGTCGCTATGCGGGGGGTCAGCGACTTCTCCTTTCCCCCATAAAAGACATTTGTGTGACTTCCCTTCAGTGCTCCATGAGGAGATTCATTCTATAGAAAAAGTTGGATAGTTTTAGCTGCTTCATGCTTTGCAGGGCTTGTGGTATTTTGTTATTGTGCAAACTGTGTGATACTAGTTTTGCTTTGATATCCAAGACCACTGTAAGTGCAGCTCTAACCTGAGCAGTGCCTGTAAAGCTGATCCTCATCATTTTTTATGTGCTTTTACGGTCCCTGTCAGGCCATCATATAAATGGAAGCGGCAGGTGACTCAGCGTGTCCCATCGGTGTCCAAAAAGAGGAAGATGTCCCTGCTGTTCGACCACCTCGACTCCTGCGAACTGGCAGAACACCTGACTTACCTGGAGTACAAATCCTTCTGCAAGATCCTGGTCAGTTTCACGGCAGCCTGTGAGGAAGCTGTTGAAACCGTGTGGTGTTTACAGCTCTTCAATTCTTTGAATTCTCCAGTAATTCAGTGTTTACAAGCTGGAAGCATGTTGTAGTTGCTAAGCAATAGAGGTTAAAATTGACTTTTAATGGCAGTAATTATATTTATTGCTCTTTGAGTCTTATTTTGGAAAGCAAAGAAAATGACTGGGTTTGTGCCGATTTAAATGGTAGATTTGTTTTGGGTTTGTCTTTGTGGCTCTTCTAAAAGAAATTCTGACTCAGTATAAAAAAAGAAGCTGCAATAAAGCAGAGCTTAGTGCTCCAAATGTGCTGTAATGACAGATTTCTGTATTTAGACTACGTGAAAACACATCAGGTTTCTCAGGTTAATGATTGGTTTAATCAGTCAGTCAATCAGATAGCTGGGTGCTTTGTCATCCAAATTAGCGTCCGTAAAGGAATAATTTGAAATTTTGGGAACTAAAAATAAATATGTAAATGTGGAGCTACAGCCAGAAGCCAATTGGTCATGCCACTTATCTTAGAACAAAGACTTGAATCAAGGGGGAAACAACTAGCCTATCCAAACACAACAAAATCCTTTGGGCAGAGACAATAAAAAGGCCAAAGCACATGACCCCACATAACCCCATGTAAACCCCACGCCATTTTTAAACTTTGTCTTTTTTGTATGGATTAAACATGCTAATCAGTTAGCATTAGAGCTGCCGGTAGGTGGATTTAACCTTAAACGTTTGGACAGAGCCGGGCTAGCTATTTCCTATGTTTCTATTCTTTATGCTAAGCTAGGCTAACCAGTTGCTGCCTAGAGCTAGATGTTCACTGTACAGCCATTTCAAGTGGTGTCGGCTTTCTCATCTCACTCCCAGCAGGAAAGCAAATAAGCATTTTTTTTCCACAAAGTTAAACCTTCAACGGGGCATGCTGGAGATGCAGCACTTCCATTAAACTGGGGAACAAGGGGACATATCGTCTTTTGTTAGATCTTCTCTGCTTTCTCTTTAAATTCCTGTGTTTTTCAACTTCAAACCGCCAATTTCTAACACAAGCCACAGAGGACAATTAGTGGAGTGTCCCTTTAATAATAAATTGACGGCTGGATGTAAGTGCTTCTTTAGTTGTGTTAATTAGTCTGCAAGTGGTTTTCAGATATTTGTTTTGCTTTTGTCCCTTATATTCAACATTAGGCCTCTTTGCTGATATGGTGAAAGCAAACATGAACATTTTTGAGGATATAATCATCAGAGTTTATAAAAAAAAAAAAAAAAACATTGTGCAAACACTGTATTTCCAAGAAATGAAATAAAAGTAATCAATTCTCCATTTCTCCTTTTAGTTTCAGGACTACCACAGCTTTGTGATGCACGGCTGCACGGTGGATAACCCCATCCTGGAGCGTTTCATCACGCTCTTCAACAGCGTCTCCCAGTGGATTCAGCTCATGGTGCTCAGCAAGCCCACCGCCCCGCAGAGAGCTGACGTCGTCTCCCACTTCATCAGAGTGGCACAGGTCTGTCTGCCGGGCCCTCTGCGGCTGTTTACTGTGAAAGTTTGAAGACAGAGATGGTGTTATGGTGTCTGTTGTCGGGCTCAGGGTGCATGATGGAGCAGGCTGATAGGAGATGATTGGCTGGGGGCAGAGAGAAAGAGGAGAGAAAATCATTAAAAGGTAAATTAAAGATTAAACCAAGAGATATGGAGAGAAGGGGGACTTTGATGACTTGCACGCCCACACACACACACACACACACACGTAAGACGCTATCATTTCCAATTAGGTGGCACATTTTGTGAGAAAAAGTGAATTAAATTTAAAAAGGCTTTGGAAGTATTAAGATGTTAAGGTGACTACTGAGAGCTCTTTAAGATAATGCTGCTGTCACCTAGCATCTCTAATAACAATAAAGAAAAACAGTCCAGTTTTAGCTGGGCGATGATGCATTTTTTGCTTTATCCAAAGCCTTTAATGAGCCTAAAGGCTTTGTAAAAATTGCTTCAATTGCCCATGCAGGATTTGGTTTCTCTGAGTGTTTATGCTATATTTTTAGTCGAACACTGAGAAAACAGTCAGCCAATCAGAAGAGAGGCTCCGAGCCTTTTGGTTTTTGGTTCTTTAAAACCACAAATATATCTTCTTATAGATGGACACTTCAAATTAAAACACAGGAAAAGTGTAAAATATGGGACCTTAAACATTAGTTCTAGCCCTAATGAAGGTTAAACAATCCTGTCCTTCTCCATTCATCCATGTATTCCCTCATGTCTACACTTACCGACTGAAATCATCTGCGGTCATCTACAGGTCAAGATTGTTCTAATCCTAATCTTAATTTAATCTGGTCTCTCCCTGCCAATTCCCAAACAAATCTGCCAGCTCACTGCCTTATACGGTTCTCTGAGCATGCGTCTGGAGACTGTCGCCCGTTCACTACAAAAACAACCCTTTAAATGGCGTCCCGGGCTTTGCAGTAATTGATATCATTTCAGCTTGATGTTATCATTTTTGCTTTGGTCGGCCAGATGGGCTGGGGGGGGGGGCTGGGCGACAATTCGCTCGTCTCTGCTCTGTGTGGGAGCTTCAGTCGACCATAGAAAGTGCAGACGAAGAATTTTCATCCTAATAGCCTGTAGCGCTCTGCGAATGCATCCTCATTACTGATTGAGCGTCTACTTCAGGATTGTTTTCATCATAATGGGATGTCTCTGCAAACTTCACCGGCTCCGACTTTATTTAACAGGGTCTCAGCAGGTTTCTTCACCTCCTTCTGTCAGACTGCACCCCCGCCCTCCAACACCTCAGCAGGGCTCTTGTCAGGAGAGCCCGGCGCAGCTCTCTTAAGTGTTTCACACCCCTTTATACCGAGCACCGGGTGAACAGAGTGTCCAGAAGTCATTTCGGACCGTGTCATTCATGCAGAACGGGTTGCCGCACGGGCAGACACATCATCACAGCTGGACACTCCCTTGTTAATTTTTTGCCAATTTGAAACGGCACAAACTCCGCCAGTCAGAAATGAAGCCCAGCGCGAGCGCACGCGGCGACAAAAAAACATGTTCATGCTGATTTCAAATGTATTCAGAGGCAGCACAGAAGGTAGCTTCGACATACTTGACATTTCCAAACGCTTCCTCCTCGGGGTGCGCCGGTTGTGTCCCATTTCAGCTTCCTATTGGGAGCGCATCACAAATGACTCATGTTCATTATTTATTTATTTATTTTTCCCATTTGTGCTATGATTCAAAATGCTAAAATGGCCCCAATGCTCTATTCCAATGCATTTCACAGTATGTTCTCTATATGTGTGTGTGTGTGTGTGTGTGTGTGTGTGTGTGTGTGTGTGTGTGTGTGTGTGTGTGTGCCTTTTGGCTTTGATAAAAACACCACATCACCAATCACCAATGGTTGACATCTCCCAGCCCTATCATATACACATTTATCATACACCCAGTGGAAATCCCTGTTATGCTGACAATGAAGCTTTAACCAGGCCTCTCCGCCGACAACCACATAAACGTGCAAGCGCAGCCGAAAACCCCCTCTCTGGAAGTCCTGGGCTGCCTTCCACACTTGCATTGCCAGTTGATTCCAAAGGGTGTTTGAGCTGCACCAAATGATCCCCCTCTGGCAGCCCTCCCACACAGCTGCGACCCCATTGATTTTCACTGAGATGCCAGGCAGGCTGAAGGGCAGCGTGGAGCCCTGCAGAGTGCCATTCACAAAGTGTTAGTTTAACTTTGACATAGACAGGTCAGAACATTCAGTAATATCTTGGTGTAACTCTGTGCATGTGGGCTGCAGACTTCCACTATCTACTCCAAAAATCCTCCTAAAGCTTTTATTTTTCTTTGCCGTATCTTTCTGACCCCCCCTCCCCCCACACACACACACCCCTTAATATTTCCTCCTTCTCCCTTAACAGAAGCTGCTGCAGTTGCAGAACTTCAACACTCTGATGGCGGTGGTGGGCGGCCTCAGCAACAGCTCCATCTCTCGTCTCAAAGACACGCAGGCCCACATCAGCGCTGAGACCAACAAGGTGCAGGAGTTAATGCTGTCCTCTCTACCAATCGCTGGTCTATTTCTGGCATCCGCCACAGCCAAACACAACCAGACAAATCCAATGCTCGCTGCATATCGATGCATTTAATGAACAAGTGATATTGAATCTTGATTCTCTGCTGTGTGAGCTGCCAAAGCTCCTTATCTGTGCCTGTTACTCCTACACTGTGGCTTTTTAAAGCTATGAATTTGAGCCATATGACAGAGGAAAGATAAATGCAACAGTTGGGAGAGTAACAGTGTCTTGTCGGTTATGTAAGTCCATCTGGAGCAAAGTTTTACAGAATGTTTTTTGATTCTTCTCATCAAATCTCTTGAGACAGACTCTCTCTGTTTCCTGCCAACTCTCATCTCATCCCATTCTGTTGTGTCCATCCTTTCTTCTCCTCCCCCTGCATTCACTCAACTACAGGTTTTTAACAACCTGATTGAACTGGTGACATCGTGTGGGAACTACAGCCAGTACCGCAAGCGCTTCTCAGAGTGCTCTGGCTTCCGTTTCCCCATCCTCGGCGTGCACCTGAAAGACCTGATAGCCGTGCACGTGGCGCTGCCAGACTGGGCAGACAAAGAGAAGACACGGGTCAACCTGGCCAAGACCCAGCAGCTGTACGCCATCCTTCAAGAGCTGTCGCTGATCCAGACAACGCCGCCCCACATCGATGCCAACACAGACCTGCTCAACTTGCTTACGGTGGGTGCAAGGAGTGGACACCATGTGTATGTGCAGAGTCCAAGCTGAATGTCTCGCGCAAAGAACGGACAGTGTGCACCAGACCCGGCTGTGAAAAACTTTGAGAGGGATGAACACTTTGTGTCCGGTCCTCTCCTTTCATTCTGCTGTGATTTGATTGGCTCATGGTCAGAGAGGCTGCACTGTAGCCAGCTTGGAAAAAAAATCAGTGCACAGACAAAGGCTAGAGAGTATATGTAGCTCACCAGAGCATTCAAGGCATAAACATTCAGGATCAAAGCATTCAGATGTCCTAAATAAATTTGGTCCAGAATGGTCAGAACAGCCAGTATATCTGCTTTGAGTAATAAATAATATATGAACCTAGAAATGAGTCTCCTTACGCTATAAGAATATTCATTATGTTGAAAATGACAAGAAAGACTTCAACCTATTTTAACAATAAACACGGGTTGAAATTATGTTTCTATGGGATAATATATTGATAATTACTGAAATACGATGAGAAGCTCAAACTAAATGAATACATATACATTTCCAGCCCAGTTTGTAAACAGATTTTAAAGAGGAATGAGATTTTCTGACTTTTAGTCCCAAGTATGTACGTTTCCCATAATGCAACTCCATACCAGCTTTTATGCCCCCTGTCTCCGAAATGTCAGCTTCTTTTAAAACCTCCAGAAGGATCCGTCTGCAGGCTGCAACACTTACAGTTACGGCCACTTCATATTACATCACAGCTCTGTGCCTCCCGGGTTTAGTTTGACAGGGGTTCGAGCGCGGCAGCCATCCTAACTAGCTCCTGAATAAGTTTTAAAAACATACATTTACCCACGGGAGCATCTCGCGCGGAGGCTCCGGCACCAACAGCACCAACCCGCGGGTCGAGACGCGACGGATCCATTTCTCCAGTCTGCGCGGCGGCTAGCAGCTCACTCTCAGTCCAAACAGAGAAAGTTGGAGGAGGTGGCGGGGGAGCGGGATTGGAGAGGGACTGCTGCCCCTGCGACCCGGAGTTATTTTTTAAAGGTCCCTCCTGAACCACAACAAACATTACACAACTGTTTCCGCAGGCTGTGCTGTGTACAAAAAAATAGCATTAATAAATAGCAACATTCAAGAATATAGAGAGGACTAAACAAAGTATTTAAATCTTTATCTTTGTTTAAACTACTGTAACATTTTTGTCTGGTAGCCATTGCGCTTTTATCCAGAACAAAGAGTCATGGCCCCTGTTGCAGCATCTCTTCACTGAACTTTAAATTGTTAACCTGCACTGAAACTTCCTGTCTGTTCCTGTATCCTGATTAAAGGCTAAAGGGCTTTTTTTTTGGCTTTGAAATAACCTGAAAGGGGGTCTCAGCAGAATCACTGTTGCCCTTTAAATCTCAACACTTCTGCGGTAAAGCCTTTTACTTAGGAGATCACAATACTACATAGTGACAGTTGTCCTGTGTTTTCTTTTCTCTCTTAGTTATACGGTACTTTATGAAAAGGGCTATTGGAATAAAGTGTATCATTATGATAACACTACCATTAATCTGTAGTGTTTCTCCAGAGCAGTAATTCTGTAACTTCTTCCGCAGACTCTTTGTCTGACAAAACATTGCCCTCTCCCGCCTTACATTGCACTGCTGTCAATCACCAAACACCAACAGGAAGAAATGGAAGCCTGCACCAGGATATAAACCCTCCACAATATGTTGTTGCCTCATCAAATACATTCAGCTATAAATGTGAAATATAAACTTGATAGAGAAAACAGTATTTTGGCTTTAAGGCCCCACATTTTACACTTTACACAAAAACCATCTCATCTCTCTCAGGCTTCTTCTTGTAACAACAGGTTGGTGAGCCAATCAGAATTGGCTGTCTGTTTTCTGAGTGAATGAATAAAAATTTTTATTCATTCAGATTTCAGGTAAACACTCAGAGAAACCAAATCCTGCAAGGTTGGATGGTGGGTCTAGGCGGGTGGGGCTTGGGGCGTGGCTGAGAGCGGCAACTGCTATGTTGTGACATCACAAAGTTACAGAAGTCCTGACAGCTGGTTTTAAGGCTCAGTGTCTGAATACAGGCTGTGTGCGTTTCTCTGTGGACTGAGGCTTTGATACTTTCACAGTATTAATATAGAACCGAGACCTGCTTTATAATCAAATAAGACATGGAACTGTACCTTTATAGAATTTGGGACCTTTAAACTCAAAGTGGGAAAAGTATAATTTGCCAGAAAATGACACTTTTCATATTTTAAGTGAGAGTTTTCTATGTTTGAGCAAACAGTGTAGTACAGCTACAACTTAAATACACTTGGTAGGAGCTATACTGAGATACTGATGTACTGAGTGAGACTGATCTCAACATGAAAGCTCAGGTGGGGTTTTAGCACTTCACATAACTGTGTGTATGTGTGTGTGTGTGTGTGTGTGTGTGTGTGTGTGTGTGTTTGTGTGTGTGTGTGTGCACGTTGTTATTTTTTTGGCAGATGCAGATAAGAGTTTCCTGAATGTGAGACGGGGAGCTTTCTGAGTTTAAACAATCCCAAGAGATCAATTACTCAATGTAGCTGCAGGTGTTTGTGTGAGATTGCAGCTGCCTTCACTCTTTTTTTTTTCAGTATAAATGAAAGACAACAACTTGACAGGTTTTAGAGCTCAGGGGCACCGGGGAAGTTTGCTGGACAGAGTCAATACCCAATTATCTTATGCCAGTGCTTATTGGAGTTGATTTAGCTTGAGTCCTACTTGGCTCAGAGCGAGGAGAAGGAAATAAGAGTCAATAAATTCTTCAAAAATAATGAAAAACTGAAGGCATGCCTGTGTACAGAGCTGAAAATAAGCAAACCACACAGGTTTAAAGTATTCTATCATCCTGAATGCGGTGAACAATTTCAGTGACCTTTGCCCTGAAATACTGCAGGCGTCTCTACTGTAAATCAGAAGGACAAACAAGAAAAAAAAAACAAAAAACTTTTTCCTTCCGCACTTACGTCTCCAACTCAATGAAACCCAGGAAACACAATTACACTAAGAGAATAGCTCAGAGGAAAATAATTAGGGGCCAACAGTGGATGCAGTGGATGATTACATGTGGCAGTTGGCTGTGATGTGTTAACTGGAGCAAAAAATAGACGCCGTTCTCTTACCTGTTGCCATAGCGGCTGCGTCAAAAGACGCCTCTACTTACCAACTCAACAATAATGAGCAGGTCTGCGTGTGAGGGGGAATAGTGAGGTTTGTGAAGCTGAAAAACGAAATAACTGCTATTGTCATTGCATCTGCAAATTCTGATTGGAATTTTTCTTTGTATGTGCAGGGATGCACAGTTAGATCTTTGCCCAATATCCAAAAGCAAACAATGTTTATATTTACAATATTTTATCATTTCGCTGCAATGCAAAAGCTTTTGTTTAGTTTCCAGTATACAGTTCAGTGGAATCCAGTTTGCTTGGTGCAGATTCAGACCTTTAAAGGGTTAGTTCACCCGAATTATACAGACACATTTTCTCTCCTTGCTAATGTAGTATGTAGCCATGTTTTTGGTTTTATTTGGCCAGGTCCTTGTGATTGGTGGATTTTTATTTGTGAGCCGTACTCAGTCACTTTGTGTCTATGTCCGTGAAGTTTGCAGTTGCTTCTGCCTGACATCTGTCCAGGAATGTGTTTATTTTGTGGTGAAGATGAATGCTGTGGATTAAGAGAGGCTAAATCCTGTTTTAACTTTTCCAAAACACTCCAAGATTCCTCTCCTCATGCAAACTGTAGAAAATACAGCATTGCTTACTGGTACTTTGAGCGTGCACGTTAATTATTGAACTCGGAGAACGGTATATGTTGCATCGTAACTAACTTCCTGAGCTTTCAAACACATCTGAAGGTCTTCAGTCAGCGATTGGAGCTGGTTCAGGTGTCATCATGTGATTGTAACCAGTGTCTCAGTTTAAGGATGCAACAAATTAACTACAGGAAACTCATTTCCTTGTTTAATCAAAGCTAAATCATTGGGGATTCACTGCGTCTTTTTTGATAACGTCACTGAACAAAATGCTGTTTTCCACAAGAGACATCTATTTGAATGAATATAATCCTTTTTCCAGGGGAAAAGCACAAAAACACATCTGAATGTAACATCAGATGGTGTCTGTCTGGACCAGAAGTCTCATATAGGCTAATTGTAAGGTAACAGTGTCTCATAACCACAGATATTTAATAGTGAAAGCCCTGATAATATGTAAAAGGTCAATCAGATATCCATGGGATGGACACTGGTGATTCATCCTGGGATGCAGCAGAAGGTTCATTAAACCCACATAAACTCTTGCGCTAAATGTTTAGTTTGAGTTGCGCCAGTGCAACGTCTTCTTCTTCTTCTCCTTACATGAAGACAGAGACGTTTGAAGACAAAGTGATGAAATGAATGCTCTGTGCTCTGGTCTGTGCAGGTCTCTCTGGACCAGTACCACACGGAGGAGGAGATCTACCAGATGTCTCTACAGAGAGAGCCACGAAAGCCAGTGGTGAGCAGCTCACAGATTTACACTACTCGTCCCATACTTTTTTTTTTTTCTTTTTTAGATATCCCATATTTGGCAGTGATATATGCTGCTCTCCTCCTGTCCCGGTATGATGGATGGTCCTGATTTTCTTCACCTTTTGAGAGGTGTCACCTGCTTTGTGAAGCTCCTCACACTAAAACTAGTGGAGAGGTTTTGAAGTATAAAGTATAAAGTATAAAATTCTGTGGGATTGTTTGAGTTATTTAAATAGAAAAAAAATTGACGCTAAATATCCCACTATCCCAGACTCCATATCTGCCCTACTCTATAATACTGTAGATGCTGTTACAAATGTATATTGAGTGGTATAAAGAAAAGTGTCACACAGGCATATTGGAAATCTTTACTTTCATTCTCTTGTGACATTTAGATCCACTGCACTAACCCTTGACTGCTGCTCTCCACAGCAGCTGCTATCTTTTCTCTTTTCTTTTGCAAGATGACAGCACCTTCTTCTTCTTCTTCTTCTTCTTCTTCTTCTTCTTCTACTTCTTTTTCTTTTTCTTCCCTGTGCTGATATTGATCTCTTGCTCTTTGGTTTCTCGCCTGCTGCAGCAGAACTCCAGCCCAGCCCCCGCGCCCGACCCCAAGCCCACGATGATCGATGAGTGGGCCGTGTCGGTGAAGCCCAGCGCCGACCCGACGATCATCAAGAAGCACATAGAGAAGATGGTGGAGGTGAGTTTCTCAGCCACTTCACGTGCCTCTCTTTCAGGGATAATTGTAACTTCTGGGGTCCATTGTGATGGCGCTGGGAAGCTGAGGATGAATTATCTGCTGTTATACCTCTCCACCACCATCTTGACATGATGACTGTGAAGTGATCTAGGCTCTTTGGCCATATTGGCAATAATCTTACACCATAATTACCAAGGCTGCGTCATTTGAAAACCATGCAATATAGTGTTTCAGCCTGAACTGCTGAAATCCTGTCACACCCCGAGGGAAGGTTTCAATAATACATAATAAAGCTAATTTCTTATCCTTTAAAAAAGTGTATTTTTGGTGCATTTGGCAGCAGGAGCATTAAAGGGATACATTACTTACATAACTCACCAGGAGACATGTTTGTAGTCTCCTGCTTGTGGACACATTCCACTTGCTTTCAGTCAGGTCAGTAATGAAGATGTCATTAAAGTTCCTCTCCAGACGTGTTTTAAACTGTGTAAAAAAAATACTCTGCTACGATTCATATTTTATTGAACATGATTTTCCCACATAAAAAAAAAAACAAAAGCAGTCGGAAAATGGGGGCTGGAAGCTCATCTACTCTTACTTCCTCAATCCAGAAATCTGGATCAGGTCTTGAGCCCCGCCCACCACCTGCTGGCTCCAGGTGGACAGGTGAAAGAGCAGAGAGTATCAAGATGGTTAGAGGAGGAAACATCAGAGAGACTCAGCCACATGTTTGAGCCTCAGTCAGACCCAGACTCAGATGAGGAGTCTGAGACCAGAACCAGAGACTAACAGACGTATCGGAACGGTTAGCGCAGTTAGCATCTTTTATTTGTTTAATTGGATAATCAGTGCACCCAAATTGTTACATAAGGCTTCATTTACAAAAATTACGAAAAGATTTTCACATTGCAGAGCTTCAAGTTTTGCTCACGGATTAAATTGTTATTTATTAATGTAAATTATATGTTTTATAGATTATGTTAGAATTCATTTTATCAGCATATTATTTGACCTTAAATATAAATACGTCAGATAGATAGATAGATAGATAGATAGATAGATAGATAGATAATTTATTTATCCCCTAGGGGAAATTCATGAATGTCAGTTTCATGGGTAAGGTAATGACACTGTCAGGAACCAGCACTTTAAAGTTGAATTCATGTTGACACTCTCTCTCTCTCTTACAGTCCGTCTTCAAGAACTTTGACACCGACGGTGACGGCAACATCTCCAGGGACGAGTTTGAAGCGATCAGGAACAACTTCCCGTACCTCAGCAAGTTCGGAGAACTGGATAAGAAACCCTGAGAGCTTGCACATTTGTTCTCTCTCTCTCCCTCACACACACACACACACACACACACAGACAGATCCACACACACCGAGCCAACAGTCTGCACACTGACCCCAATCTGTAGCAAAACTTTACATCTCTGTCTCGCTCCCTCTCGCAGAGACGGGAAGATCAGCAGAGACGAGATGATAGACTACTTTATGAAAGCCAGCTCTCTGCTTAACTGCAAGATGGGATTCATCCACACTTTCACCGAGACCACCTACGTCAAGCCCACGTTCTGTGAACACTGCGCCGGCTTTGTGAGTAAACCCCCCCCCCCCGCACTCACATGTGCACGCTAATCCTATTTTGAGCTTGTGTTTTTTTTTGTTTTTTTTTCTCACTATAACTAACAACAGTTGATAGTAAAATTACACAAAACACCATATACTTTATAGATTATTTTTAATACTGCATCAGCTGTATGATTTCTAAACCCTTCAGCCTCCTGAAAAAATATTGATCTCTCTTTTGTTTGCTTTTCAAATGCATTGATTTCTTCACTATCCCAATCGGTGTCATAGCTTGTCAGAGGTCAAAGGTCGGCTGCGCTCAACCTGCCATCCCACAGCTGTGTAGCTGCACGGGCGTCATTATTTGTCTCGGCAGCGAGCGATAGCCCCCATCTCTCAGAGGTCCCTCCTGTCAGGTCAGGGCAACGCCAATTACTTTGAGCTATAGCCACACGCTGCTGAAGTTGCATTCTGGGAAATATGGGAGGAAGGTAATTGGGGGAGATGATAGCCCTCCTCTGTTGCAGTATTATTTGTGTGTGTGTGTGTCTGTGTTTGTGTGTGTGTCCTCTGGTCCTTAAGTCCCCCAAGGAGCTCTGTGTTATTTAGACACCGTGCGTCAGCACTCAGCCGTAATGAGAGCAGGAATAGGGCCCTCGTGTTGAACTGGAGACGCAGAGATGACATCCCATTCATTTCTCCATACTTGATATGAGCTGGAGAGAGATTGCAATGCTCATAAGAGTGGTATGTCACATTAGCTATAGGTATGGGCTTTGATTAACACTCAGATGAGAACACACTCTGGCAGACAAACATCCATTATCCAGGGGAAGCGCAGACATTTTCAAACCGTCATGAGGGGAAACACAGAATAGAGAGCAGGGAAAGATAAGGACTCTGACAGCATGCTTCTTCCTTTGAATATGTCTGTGTGTGTGTGTGTGTATGTGTATGTGTCTGTGTCTGTGTCTTTGTGTGGCAGAGGTAGATACACCAGCCACTTCCTCATTTGCCTGCTTTCCTCTTGGCTCCTGTGCAAAAACAATATTATCCCACAGCTCCTTTTTTTTTTTTTTTTTTTCCAGCACTTGCTTCCAAACACGGCGCACACGCCAAGCCTCGTGTAAACACGGCAGAGTCCACTCACCTCCAGTGTCTCGCATCAAATCTTCCTAATCTTGTGCCGTTTTCGGCCCGCAGCCACCTCTGGCCTTACGTCCTAATTAACGGCGCACAAATGAGTTTTGCTACACGCAGGACACGCAGCGAGCTAAGTGTGTGTTTTTACATCTCGGGAGGATACAGCAAAGTGTTTAGCTAGAGGCCCAGAACACTTTAATATGAGAGACTGCAGCGTGTGATGCATGAGCCTCTTTGGGTTTATGACAGTTTAGCTTCATGGAATCAGGAGTGAGTCGACACAGATCTCTTATTTTTTTTTACTGCTGGGGTGACAAAGGCTCTACTTCACTGAGAATCAGTCAATTAGAGCTTATAAATGTTTTCTTACTAGGAATATGAGTCTCTCTCCAGGGTTGTCAAGGCAATCTGTCCAATAATAAAGCAACAAAATCCGGTTCATATATTATTCTTTTCTGTGATCACACCTACCGAGTGATTTCCTCGCTCCAAACTGCCGTGAGCTTGCCATTAAGGAATCTGTTGCGTTTAGGTTGCGAGCCAGCATGTTGTAAACAAACCTGACATGGACATGTTTGGGTGACCTTATCCTGCCGGCTCGCAGGCTTTGGCAGTGGAGAGGGGTGTGTCCAAACAAATCTGTTTCCAGTCCCTGTAACTTCAGCTAAACACGAGGGACGTGTCTGTTCTCTTGGCAGCAGTTTTCCTCCTTTGGTGTCCACACAAGTTGAAGACGCACGCTGCATGAGACTTAATCAGAAGCTCTGAGATCACATGTTGAACTCATCAAGTTGATAATTGGTTATAGATGATGGCACCGTCTATTAGTCAAGTCAGCATCATGTCAGCAACATGTGTTTCCGCGCTGGATCTGTTCGGTCCTGTTTGAGTCATGCACTGGAGGAGGGAAGCTTTACACTTCAGTGACAGTGATGACTTTCTCCCCTGTTAGCTCATTACAGCAGTTAAAGGAATAGTTCAACATTTTTAAGACTTGCCTTCTTTGTTGCTGAGAGTTAGAGTGAGAAGATCGATGCAATCACTCTCTTATGTATGTGTCCACTAAGGATGAAGCCGCAGTCTGCCCAGGAGACGGTGGCCTGTCCCTGTTGGTTCCCTGGCAACCTCATTGGTGACCAAAAGACTCCAGGAAGTCACTGCTGCCATACAAGAAATAGTCACAACAAAATACACTGTCAAACTGCAACGTAATATTCAAGCAATATCAACACGAGAGGGATTGATGTTGTACTGAATATCAGTCTTCGGTGATCTGCCTGCAGCGTTGTACCTACGACCGAATCACAGCCGTGCCGATAATCAGTACAACATCTGTCAGGTGTCAGGGAAAGTTGGACTGAAAATGCAGACAACAAAAGGGTAGGTGGAAAGAAGGAACTTTAATTAACACAAAAGTCCAAAAGCTTACAGGAAATAGGTGAAAAAGTGAAGTCCAGGGAGGAAAAAAACTTAACTCCGAAAATCCAAACCAAGGTCATACAAATGACGAAACTCAGGAACAATCACGGGGGCACAAGAGAAACTCGACAGATGAACGGACAAAGACAAGTGGAAGACGAGACTTAAATACAGAAGGGAGGCAAGGGCTAAATGAACACAGGTGAAACACATTAGGGCACAGCAGACAACCTCCAAGCTGGATGCTAAAAATGTTGATGTGAATGTAACTAATGGCGAATGGAAACTATCCTCACTCTGTCTGTTTGCCTGCCTGTACTCTGAAGCGGCTCGGGAGAGCAGGAACAGAATGTGATGTCTGGTAGGAAAACATAGAAGTCATTTGTTTTAGAGACAGTTTTTGTTTCACAAAGAACACAAGGTCTTTACTCAAGAGTTGACTTTCCATTCAATTAAAAAGTTTTTTTTTCCCCTATCTGAAATCTCCTCTTTAGGATAAGGAAACATCCGATATTGCATCAGTACTACCTATAGTAGTTAAACAGTAATTAAATACACACTTACTTTTCAATAAGCATTGACAGCTGATGTGAGACTTCAGTAAAAGATTCCACAAATAAAAGCACATCTCACAGAGTGCAGCCTTTAACATTACATGTGTAAAAGTAGCTGTTCTCTAAAAAGCCAGCAGCACAAGTGTCAAAGGAAAGTAACAAGTCAGTGTTTGCAGCTCTTGTTTGTAGTGCATTGTGTTTTACAGTCAGAGTCAGTAAAGGTCAGTCAGTGTAGGCAGACCTGTGATGATAGTTGTGTTGTGTAGTTGTGTAGATGTTCTGCTCGTACCCAACTTCTCTTTGTTGTAGAGCCTCCGACTGTGCTCACGGTTTCCCACTGCGTCCGCGTGTGTGTCTTTGTTTGTGTGTATATGTGCCTCTGCTGGTGTATGTGTTTGCATGCATGCATGTAGGCTTGTGTGTGTGTCTTTGGTGTGTGTGTGTGTGTGTGTGTGTGTGTGTGTGTGTGTGTGTGTGTGTGTGTGTGTGTGCGAAGAGGTCAGGATATTTTGTGCCTCCTCAGATGTGCCAGTGCTGTGTGTGATCTCCAGCTCTGCTCTTTCATGTCATTGTTCCCCCACTGTCTGTGCGCTCCCTGCGTCCCGCTTGATCTCGGTCCCCCTCCACCCCTTCTGTCCCGCCAACCTCCTCTCTCTCTCTCTCTCTCTCTCTCTCCCCCTTTCTTCCCCTCTCTCTCTCTCTCTGTCACACTTGCCCTACATCTCTCTCTGTGCTCCTTTCTTCATTTGCTTTTTTTCCCTGCACTTCCTTGGCATCAATGGGGTATATCAAGATGTGAGCTACATGGCTGTTTTAACATGTTTTAGCCCATTAACTGCTGATTGTGTGTACTTTCTCTTTACTGCCAAAGCATACGTTTTGAGACTAATGTCCTATATTTCATTCCAGTTCACCACAGACCCAGACTTGAAACCTACTTGAGATATCTAACAGTGTCAGAGTTGTTTGGTTTTACAGTTGCGCCTTTTTTGTTTATTAAAAGCTGTGTTTAGGCAGCCAGCGCTAAAAATGATGGAGAGTTCCTACACAAACATGCATTTAAACAAAATCCCATATCACCATATTACATTGTAAATTATCTTTAACTTATAGACATAGAATAAAGTTAAACATGATGGATTGTAAGTCTCTACAGTCACACTATAGTGAAATGAACAGAAACTAATGACTATATGGGAGGTAAGAAAGTAATTAAACATTATATGGCATGTTTAATAGTTAAGTATATGACATTTGTAGTTAACAGACTAAATTGTCTTAAAATTTGTCATTTCAATTAGAAATGATACAAATCTGCTGTTTTGCTTCATTCCTTTTTTTTTTTATTTGGTGCAGCAAGACAAAGACAAAGAAAGTGACATAACATAACTTACAGTGTGTGGAGTATTTGAATTCCTGTAGTGACCTGTTGTTGACCTATGATTCAGCTTTGAATTTTTCATTTCAAAACTCTGTAATAATTGCATCACAATCACCAGTGGAAACAAAATGAAATATCATCTTAATTAACATAACCTCACTCTCTTTTCTTTCTCTTTCTCTGTCTTTTTGTAGATCTGGGGCTTCTATAAACAAGGCTACAAGTGTAAAGGTAAGAGAGCAATTCTTTTAGTTCCACATCTGCTGCACAGATGTGCATGTTCCACCCAGATGAGTACAGCCTTCAAAAAATGAGTTATTCTTTTTGACACCTTCAGTCCCCTGCCATCACACATACATTCTCTCTCTCTCTCTCTCACACACACACACACACACACACACACACACACACACACACACACACACACCCTCTGTAGTTAAAGATGCACAGAGTTAAAGCGCTGAGTAAATGTAATCAATACAGAAACAATGGCATATATATATATATATATATATATATATATACAAGGCTCTGTTCACTACACAACACAAATGTACTTACACACAACCTCCAGCACCTCCCACCCTCTCATGGTCATTATCTTCAAAAACACACACACTTACAGTAGCTTCCTCCTCCTCCTCCCTCCCTGGCTGTGCCGCTGCTGGTTTGTGCTGATGCTAGAAATTAAGTAGTCATGATCTGCAAGACATTCAGCACTCAGACAAATTTGCACTACATATGTTTCCATCCAGATGTCAAGCTACGACTTTGAAAATGATGCCAAATCATGCAAGTTTCCATCTGGTGGAGTCTTTCAGGAAGTGATTGATTACAGCTCGGCCTCATGAATGGGAGAAGTTAGTAGTTTACATCGGTATCTATAGCACAAGATGGGGGGCCGGGTTGCACCTTAACCTTTCAACGTCTATGAGAGTCTGAGAAACAGAGTGTTTGTGTGTCAGAGGATGTAATGTATTCACCTCTTCCTGAAAGAAAACAAGCATTTCAATTACCAGCTCTCTCTGGTCCATTCTTATTCTCTATATTAACTGCTTCCTCATTCATTCAGGTTCATCTCAGGTTGGCTAACACTAACGCTTATTGAAAAGCTTGCAAGTTATCATCAAACATTGGAGTTGCATAGCAACTAGAGTAATTAATGCTCCTTGGGGCCTTTGAGGTCCTGCTGTGTGTTACTCGCAAACGTTCACAGCACCCTGCATCTTGTGTTTGAAAGTTAAAAAGAAAAGGCCTCTCTGATCACTGCCTAATTTCTTAATTAGCAAGACATATTCTATTCGAAGTGGTGAAGTCTTACAAAGAATAGAATAGAAGAATTTTAGCTTTTATACACAATGCTCTGAAGGTAATTCAATTTATAAAATACAAACATGGCCACATGATTACTGCTGTTGAGACAAAAGGAGGAGACAATGGCAGGGAGGTGAAAAGAGCGAACACAAGCAGACACACACAAACAGATTCATGCATGACTTTGCACTACGTGTACACACAGAATTCACTTGCACCCACAAAAATCCCGACACTCACCCATCTTTCCTCCACTCAGAAGGAGTGTCTGATGACTGGGAGTGTGTGAGTGTTCCAGTGCATTAATGAGTCCAGAGGAAGTCAATGAAAGAACCCCACAGCCATTCATCCCCATCACCATTGTTAGCCTGTGCTCAGGGAGGTAGACAGAGCGGCAGGGACATAATTGAAATGAATCACCCCTGTTGAGGACTCTGAATGTGGGAGTGTGAGTGTGTGTGTGTGTGTGTGTGTGTGTGTGTGCGTGTGTAGCTAGACTTCAGATATTTAGACATAGGTATGAGAGGCATCTCAGTGTTTTTTAATGGGTGCAGTGCTGTCACTATACCAGTATTCTACGGTGGCCCTAAGAGCTCAACGCGCTGCAACTTAAGAAAACACAGGCAAATTCAGAAAACATCGTCAATTTGACACACAATGTGCTGCAAATAACACACAACACAAGCAGGTAGTAGCAGCTGCAAGTAGCACAAACGACAACGTTAGTGTTTCCAGGGGACACAAAAAAGTGAGCATTATACAAATGCGTCCCAGCTGGGCTCCTCACTTTTCCAAATCCCCATGGAAACACTTCTGTTGCTGTCTGTGCTACTTGCAGCAGCTACTTGCATCTTAAATATCAACACAATATGGCTATGATATGACAGCAACAAGTGCTCCTGTCTTTGTCCCTCTCTTTAAAGGAATATCCCAATATTTTTTGGGAAATATTCTTATCCACTGTCTTGCTGAGAGTTGGGTGAGATGACCAATATCACTTTCATAATCGTCCATTGAACATGAATACTAGCATACAGAGAACTGACATCCGCCCACCTTCCAGTCTTCCAAATGCTACAGTATGCTAACTGGCTGTAGCTTCATATTTAATGGCTAACTAGGCACTGAATGCTACAGCGTGCGAACAATCCAAGAGAGAAAAGTGCAGTGAAGTTGAACAAAAGGGAGGTTTTTTTTAAATGGCTCTGAGCATTTCAAGGTAGACAAGTTCATCAAGAATGAAGCTGGGTACTTGACCTCTAAGGGAGAGGAGGGTAACACACTTCCTGGCGGAAAGAGAAAAAGAATTTTGTCTTTTTTAAGTAGCGTATTAAACTGTCAACAAATGGTAATGTCATGGAATTTAATTAGCTTAAAACACCTTTGTTGGAAGTCAAATTTTAATAAGAAAATAATCTTTTGAAGTGGTGTCAAGGGAAAGTGATTTTTTTTGTTATCGTGACAACACTAGTAAGATGTGTGTGTGTGTGTGTGTGTGTGTGTGTGTGTGTGTGTGTGTGTGTGTGTGTGTGTGTGTGTCTATTGAGGTTCTTTGACTCTCACATGTTTTTCTTGCTGTGTTGCTGGATGACCCGTCGCTCCTCTCCTCTTAGACCCCTCCTCATTGACAAAGTTGTTGTCAGGCACCGTCGGCCTCACTGTGTGTGTGTGCCAGTGTTCGTGCGTCTGCATGGCGTGTACAAGCACGATCCCGTCGCCTCTAGCTCTTCCGTTCGCCCCGATGTTTCTGTTTGCACCCATCCCTCTGTCTGACCCTCTCCCTCTCTCTCCACCCACCTCCCCATCCTCCCCTCACTCTTCTTGGCCTTTCCCTCCCCTCTTCCCCTCTCGCCTCCTCTCTCGACGACTCTCCCTCCCTCTCCTCCGGCGACCCCGCCGCCCTCTCCTCCTCTCCCGGAACCTCTCCCTGCCGCCGTCCTTCTCCCACCACATGGATGCTCTGGGGTCAGCCTGCGGGGTGAACTGCCACAAGGCCTGCCGGAGCCGCCTGGCCGTCGAGTGCCGGAAGAGGACCAAGAGCATCAGCCACGAGACTCCACCGGCTCTCCAGGCCAGGTCCTATAGCTTCCCTCCACCTGCCAACACTCCACCCAGCCTCCAGAACACAGGTGAGGGGGCTCTGCTTTTTAAACTAAAACCAAAAAACTTTAATTTGCATTGGCTTGGCAGAGATTGCTGCGCTGAAGTCATAGGAGAATACACAAACACTTTGGAGTATATTGGAGGTCTTGTTTTGCAACAAATTACATGAGTTGCTTTCTCCTCTCATGACATTTTTAGATTTTGATCACAAACTGGACGTCGTCATCCTTGTTATAATGACTTTTTATTTATAATTCCTTATACACAGGAATAATACCAGTGGCCTGCTTCGTAGTACAGGCCTCAGATTCAATTATGTTCTTTATGGTGACATCTAAATGTAAAATTTATTGTCTTGAAACCTGAGACTTAACGACTGGTGATGCCTGGTATTTCTTCTCTGTTTCTTCCTTATGATGTAAATGCAGCATAAAATAGTTTGATCTTGATGCTAGCTAAGACACAATAACACAAGAAACACCCTCGCAATCCTTAAATATGCAAAAACACCAGCTGAAAAATACCGTTTTCTTCTCCAAAACACAGTCTAATGTAGTCATCCTCTCAGAAAAAGTATAGCTCAGAGGAATTTCTCTCACACGTTTGCAGCACTTCTTGTCACCACTGCAACACCTCCACTTTTTGAAGGGTGCTTTTGTCTCCCTCCGAGCATATGGCGCGCTGACATTCGGGAAGATATTCTCAAACAATAGAGTGTAATTTGCAATGGAAATGTGATTGGTCCAGCGCGCGGCGAGGCCAGTGACTCATAGATGCCGTGTTTTCATCCGAAATTAGCACAAGTGGTGCCCTGCCTGGCTCTGTATTCGTATCAGTGTGAACTTGCTTCACCGGTGTGGACTAGACAATAGTTTCCACGCGAAATGAATTGGTGAATGGGAAAACAGACGGAGGCCACACGTTTCATTAGCTTTCGGTCTGTGTTTTGCATTTCCATTTGTTTGATAAGTCTATTTCTCGTTTCTTCACCCTCACCCTCTCTGTTCCCCTCAGTAATTGCTGAAGAGGATATAGAGACAGTGGAGGAGGGAGTGTTCGACGTGCACCTATAACCAGGTGAGAGAGATGATCGCTCCTGTACCCTGTGGATGTTATTGACGTGTGTCCTCACCTTCAGCGTTCCTAATTGATTTTAAGTTGAGTTGATCATTTTACCCAGAATGACTCCTGGTGTCCTACACAGGCTTGACTTAACTCTCGACTCTTGCTCTGGATGTTAGCAGTTTTGAAAACATGAAACACTTGACTGTGGATTATACATTTTCATTATAGCTACCTCCCATAATCATTTTAATAATGATGCATGACTCGCGGCTGTGATACAGTTTGTTCTATTAAAGCCACTGATGTTAGAAGATCTACATCTTAACATCACCTAAAATAAACACGCAGTTAATTGTCATCATGGTGGAGTTAGTGTTAGCTGTTAAGGATCAGGAATGTATAGTTAGGATGAGAATGCAGAGACACATAACTCTGGGCCTGGCACATAAATAATGAGCTTTGGACAGAGCTGGAGTATCTGTTCCCCCGCTATTCCTTTAAAATTGGACTATTTACATGAAGTGATAAAGTGAAGCTGCTCAGGAAATATCTTGATGTGATGTCATCTGCCAATATTTTTGGCCTCTGACTTTTTAAAACACAGCAATGCCTACTTACATGGCTGCATGTAAGTATCAAAGTAGTATCAAAATATCGAGAACAATTTTCTCTTCTCAGTTTGTGTGATTTGAATCATGTTTACAGGCTTGCAGTGTCCAGTGTCTGGACATTATGGATTTGTCAGTGGCAAAAACAAGCACTTTTAGGGGATGTACTTTGACGCCCTGTTTATTACACTGCAGCAGCTGTTTTACAGTTAAACCATTCTTGCTCATTAGTGGACCAATTGCAAAGATTTCTGCCCCTATAAATCATTTACGCCCCAAAACACGGGAAGATAAGGTTAAAAAATCCCAGAGTTCTCTTTTAAGGCCAACGCATGACTTGGCAAATGACCGACTGAGCAACAAAGCAGGTCAAACTACAGCATGTTCCGACCCATGACGACTCAGCAGTTTTTACAACATTATTATATAACTACTCAGTACTTCGAACTCAGCCTTTGATTCTGATGTCATCTACACACCTGTAAAGTTTTATGACTGTATCTTTCACAGTTGCTAAGGCGGTGACAACATTCGTCAACAGACATACAAACACATGCCAAAGTACTTAAGACCACCTCGGTGGTAGTTCCCACCACAGTGGGTGTCTCCTTGACCACATATTGCCACGATGACTGACACACACACACACACACACACACACACACACACACACACACACACACAGACTCACAAAGTGAAAAAATACCAGCCCTGCTGTTACGGCTGGTGAGAATACAAGAGACCGTGCTTGTGGGCCCTGGAGCAAGAATGAGTTGTTAGTTTGTGGCAATTTGATTAAACAGAAATGTTATTAGGGTGGATAATATGAACTGTATTTTGAAACAGGCACCCTCTACAAGATGCTAATTGCCACCTCAAGCCATTTTGTGTCCCAGGGCTGTCACCTGCTTTGCCCAGTCGGTGATTCAGCCTCGCGAGAGACACTATTAGTATACAGTTATACACAATGCTGATGTGTTTTCATGTGTCTATTTTCCTTGAGCACTGAAACCTGTATCACTAGATGTATCAGTCATTGTGTGCCAAATCCTTGCAGGAGCCTTGAACTGAAGTGTGGTTTTGATGCACAGGCCAGTCTCCAGCTCGCTATTTTAGAATCCCTCCCACGGTCGGTGTGCAAGAAGCCAAATGAGCGACTGTTGGGAGACAGACGCAGAATGTGCTACAGTATGTCAGTTTTACTGCACCTCCTCATATGAGGAGAAATTGCACTGAACACAAGCCAGGATACCTACACGGTGCCACACAGTGGACGCACACTGCAACAGCAACTCCACTCCACACCACACATGAATGTGATGACCAATGTGAATGGAAATGTCTTTGTATGATTTCTATGTCAAATCTCTACATTTTGATTGATTGATGTCGGCCAAGTGTTACTGTAAAAACTTAGTATATATTCTAAAAAAAAAAAAAAAAAATTGAAAAAAAAAAATCCACAAAATTGTATTTTCTTGGTGGAATGCTAAAGTCAGTGGAGTTTATAATTTGAGCACACTTTGCTGCAGATTGGAATGCCTGTCTACATTTTCCTTTAAAAAACAAACAAACAAACAAACAAACAAAAAAAAAAAAAAAGAAGCAACATAATAGAGGTGCTGTTATTGCCAAGAATGTAAAACCTGCCACCCAGACTAAGCTACTGTCTCCTTTATCTGAGAATCTCTGCTTTTTATTGTTTACCATCTTGTTTTGAAATACATTTCAATGGGCCAATTTCAAATGTCAGATAAAGTATTGTCGATTTTGCGGTGCCCGTCTGAAACGTGGAGCGACAAAAGCATAACCACTTCTCCAACAAAAGAAACAGCTGAAATGACTGTGCGGACAGTTATAATTAGGGTGGACTTTGATCAATGTTTTATTTCTTTTGTCATGTTTTCCTGAATATCAGTAACTGTCCTATAGCTGTTGCTGTTGTGATGTTTTTTCCGTATACAGTACTGTCTTGTATACCAGTGCACTGATAGGTGATCTATCCTCTCGCAGTACTGTGAATGTAGCAGAAGCAGCTGCTGTCAGATGAAGAACCCCGTCTTTTCCAACAGACACTGTACATTGACAGCGGAGAGCAGGGAGCTGGATAACTTCCCACTGATCCCTCTGTTAGGTTTTGATGTTCTTAGACTGTCACTTGAAACACAACAATCAAAAGAATAATACCAAAAAAAAAAAAAAAAAAAATACAAAAAAAAAAAAAAAAAAAACCAAAAAAAAAAAAAAAAAAAATGGAGTAATGAGGTTTTTCATTTGACAGCAGCATCTTATAAAAAAACATTTCCCTGAGAATCTCTTTTGATGCAAGTTGTATTTTGCTGTTTCTATCCTGCATGCTTCTCTCTCCACAGCTCTATTCTCCGGCCAGACTGAGGATTTCTTCTTCTTCTTTTTTTTTTTTTTTTTTCTTTTACGTTGCATGCCAAGTCATCATTTATTTAGGAAACATGAAGTCTTGAAATTCCAGACCGAGGAAATGTTTCTGTTGCTTTGTGCCTGTGCGGAGATGAATTCAGACTTCGAGTGCCATATTGTTAACTGCTGGATTGTCATTGAATGAGACTCATCACTTTGCTGGTATTTATTTTTCTGTATAAATAGCTAAATAGCTGCCGGTCCTTCTGTTTCACTCCCTGCCTGACAAAGGATGTTTGTTGCTCTTCTGTAAATGAATCTTTCAGACTGATGTCATGCTACTTCCTGTGGTTCCCAGATGATTCCTCAGTATTAAATGCATCTTTCTAATATGTGCTCTGGTTAAGAATTTCTGTGACTAATAAGAATGTTACTGAAGAAAAAAAACAAGGTTTTGTCTTGTCTTTGTGAAATGGGAATTGAGCTTTTTTTTTTTTCACTTTTGCCAAATGAATCAAAGGTATATTCACACAGATGTTTTTTTCAGCTGCTTTGATCTAAAATAACTTTAAATTTTTTATACATTACTATTCATAGCGGTAATCTCTGGTGAAGGCTTGGCAATTTTAGCAATTTTCTTGTTTTAACTTGAAGAATTAACATGAAAGAACAACTCTCTCTGGAAAACTGTGAATTACAGCTATCACAATCAAAGCCATTTCGCTCACTTCCCGGAAAGGTGACATTTTGGAGATAAGGCTCACTTAACGACAGTGATAATGCAATTGTTGTACAGCCTGAATCTGTCCCTGCGGTGAAAGCAGAAGTCAGAATAGTTCAGTTGAATGTAACATAAGACAAAGAATGCCAACACTGTGGCAGGCGTGAAATGGTAAATGGACTGCACTTAGATAGCGCTTTTCTAGTCTTATCAACCACTCAAATGCTTTACACTACAGGTGTTTTTGCTATCACACACACACACACACACACACCGATGATGCATTGGGGGCAATTCAGGGAACCAGTGGTTCTCAAAGTGGAACTAGCAGTGGTTCTTGAGGGGAATAAAAAATAATTTGTTTTCACTATAACTCCATCTATAAGTATATGGCATAACACAATAACAGAATGTATGACTATTTTGGTCGTGGGTTTCAGACACGCTCTGTAATAAAACATCTAAAAGCAAAAATCTCTTCAGGTGGGGGACACTGGTACACAATCTTATCAAATGGGCGTCTGTGGGGTCCTTGGTGTGAAATAGTTTGTGAACCAATGATGGTGACGCTCTAACTACAATATTGATTAACAGCAGGAAAAAAATATTTTAAAAAGTAATAAAAAATAATATGAAAGTAGAATTACTGCCTGGTGGTTGTCTGCCTCTGATACTAGTTTCAGATTACATCCCTGTTTATCCAGAGTCATATAAAATATGAACCTTTGTGTGAAATGACGTCATAATTGCTGTGTGAAGTCTTGACTGTGTTTTGTGCTGACCATGACCTTTGACCTTTGACAACCAAAATCTAATCAGTTCATTCCAAATTTGAAGAAATTCACTGCGCATTTTGTGAGGTCACCATGACCTTGACCTTTGACCTTTGACCACCAAAATGCAGCTACGGCCGTTGCCGGCGCTGAGCCATAAAGAAATATAAGAAATAGTCTCTTAGAATGTTACCACTATAGTCCACATCACATTGTAACTTATTGATGCAACTCATTTCCAAGCTCCAACCTTTCCAACAGAAGATAATTTCACAATACAGCATTGAAAAGTAAAAAATATCTTGAGCCGCATCCACTCCCAAAACAGACTCATCCAGATGTTGAAATCGATTCTACAACCACCACCACCTCACACCTCCACCATCCCTCATGCGACCATGATCCAGTGTCCTCTAGCGTTCCACTGTAGACATTAATAACCAGCCCCGAAAGAGCCTTGGAGTCGATGCCACATCTAATTACTCTCAGAGATGAAGTCAGCCTGGGCCTCTGATTGCCTGACTCCCCACCCTGTATGTTCTATTCAATGGGAGGACATTGATCCGGCTATATCCAGCCTTTGAGTTGGCTCATATCTCATTCAGTGCTATGATACCGTTGAACACTCTCATGTGGGACCGTGTCGGCTAACAGTGAGCTGATGAACTGCAGAGGTGATGTGTTCATAACGCGGCCTATCGACCTCGGTCACTCGCACGTGGATGCATTCGGCGTCAACCGCACGATTCTGCAAATGTGATTCATTCATTTCCTGTGGCTGCAGGGAAACACTAGGTCCATCATTGATAAATAGACAAAAGAAAATCTATCTATTTTTTGTTTGTTTGTTTTCAATTGAGCTGACATTTATGAAGCACCAAAAGAAATCCACAAAAGGACAGGATGCGTGTGCAGACTCCACTCAGAATGGACCAGGAGGGAGAATCAAACAAAGAGCCTTGTCGTTGTCGTTGAGAGGTGACAGGATCTGCAGTGTCCCTGCAAACAATAAAATCAATTTTGAAATGTCCAGATTTGTGTCTTTGCCTTGATAGTGCTTGATAGAAAAAAAGAAGCAGCAGCAGCCATGCCGTAAACCTGACACTCTAATGCAATATCCTCTTTGAAATATCACCTTCACTACTGTTCCTCCGGAGCCTGTACGACTCCTGCGCCCTTAAAATGTGTGTGGTCATCGCCCTATAACAGCATTGAACGTCTCTTTTAGCCCGGTGATTGATACCTCCCATTCGGCCATAGAAAAGCCCTCCTAGCAGCGCAGCTATTTAGCCGGCAGCCTGAGTGATATGGATCTGAAAAGTCTGAAATGAGGGAAATTGAATAGCACCGCAGCTAATTACATAGTAATGAACGCAGGAGGGAAATAACCTCACACATTGTTAGCGCTCACACTGCGACCTTGATTGCGAGGAAAGGAAAGATTTGAGGGCCTGATGCTTGAAACACATTCAAGGCTAAGATGTCATCCCCCCCCCCCCCCCCCCCCGCTACAGTTGCTATTTCTGTCACAGATATTGGCAGGTAGGCATTTTTAGCAGCTATTGATACACATGAAAGGTTTTCATGGATGGAGGAAAGGATTTGGCATAATGAGTAACAGCATGCAGTGTTGATTTGTTTGAACAGGAGATCACTCTTAGATTTCCTCTTGTAAGGCTAATGAACAGATTATTGATTTGATGTCTGCTCATCAAAAACTGGGACCGCGGCCAAGCTCTGCGACCGCCTGACGTCTGCTCATCTTTTTGAACCCACCATGACACCTGCATCTGCAATGCCATCCCCCTTGTGGTGCGCTGACTGCAAGCATCTGGAGCTGTTAACCTCATGTTTAAAGTGAGGGAGAGAGAGAGAGAGAGAGAGGGGTAGGGAGTGATGGGGGAGGGTGGGCATGGCAGTTTGCTCACCACTTGGTGGCACTGTTGAGCTGCTGAATGGAGCGCGTGCAACGAGGAAGAGCTCCTGTGAGGAAGGTGGGAACGCTGCCAGTGATGTGGCAAAACAAAAAAAACAAAAAAAAAAAAACAGAGCCACTGTCAGGGTGTATGGTGAATCACAATGCAGCATCACAATGCAGATAACAGCGGCACAATTCTCTGTCGTTTATATGTTACTTCCCATAAAATCAAACCTATGTGTGCGCACAAGCAGATACACTTTGTAAATCAAATGAAATGTTGCTTCATGCTTGTTTTTCATAAGCTGGCAGTGCTCTTACAGTGTCTCTTTTGCCCACACACTCACACACACACACACACATACACACACACACCGACAAGCTGAGGAAGATCCTACAATATCACTACAGCTACAACACTTTTCTTGCAGATTCTCAGCTGGTGTTTTGATCATTTTATCATTTTTTTTTGTCCTGAAAAAAAAAAAATACAGTCGCCCTTTTTTAAAAAAAAGAAAAGAAAGAAAAAAAAAAAGGAACGTATTCTTTGAATTCAGCTGGATAAACAAAGTTGATGGCAAGTAAAACAAGTCAAATAGGCTCCAGTGAAAATGCCCCCAGCACTCGAGCCCTGCTTATCTGGCTTTGTCCACATTTAAGAAGCAGCTGGGCAAACAGTCTCTCACAAAGTCGAAGGAGCCGCAGCCTTAATTGCATTAAGCTCATTGCTGACTCTGGTGAAGCTCTCGGCACTGTAGGGGGTTGGAATCCTCATTAGAGTAGAATCAGTTATGATGAATATTGCTTTAAGAAAATTTTACTTATGCCAAAGAAACCCAGTGGGATGTAGCCCGGACCTGTTAGCTCTACCGTGCAGCATTAAAAAAAAAAATTAAAGAAGCACATCTATCGTCAGGTTGAGTACTGCAGTGTCAAGTCTCCAAGGCTTTTAAATGACTTTCTGAATTAAGGAGAACAAGAGATGATAACCAAGGTCAAACTTTTCTAAATGCCTTGAGAAGCCAGTCTAAGAAGGAGGTGACAAGACAAATAGAGGCACTTTGTGAAGCTCGGGCACAGAAATCCTTCTTGATAAATATTACCCAACTTGCAAAAAAAAAAAAAAAAAATGAAGATAATCAGAATGAGAATCCATCCCCCCCCCCCCACCTCTTCTCCTCCTCCTCCTCCTTCCCTGCTTGGAGAATTCTCATTTAGCCTTCACTGATACCAAATCAAGTTACTGCGGCCTCAGGATTGACACAAAATCAATGGCACTGCATCTGCAGTGGGAACGGCACGCATATTTAATATTCCTGAAACTGCAGGACAGGGGGTGGGGGGTGGGGGGGTGGGGTGGGGGGGCTCAGCAGCAAGCTAGTGTGTTTTGACTGATGGACCTGTAGATTGTATACTGTGACCCGGGCGTCAGCGATAGCAATGCGCTTCAGACTTATCTATGTACAACCGCCATCGTTGTCAAGAGTTTACTAAAAAAAAAGAAAGACAACAAGCTTCCCTGTGTGTACTTTAATGTCCCTGTCTGGCTTTCTTTCTTTTTTTTTTTAAAGATCAAAACCTCTGCTTTGGTGCATATATAACATCCCAGCTTTGAGGTATTCATGAAGGCACAGATATGACTGGCTATAAAAGTGTGCATGCATAAATGACTGCAATACAGAGCTTTCTCTAAAGGCAGGGCCACTGTATCATCTCTCTCAAAGGTGAGTTATACTGTATTTCATCACTGAATGCATCAGATAGTCTACTTTCAGTCCAGAGCGCCTCATTAATCCCCTGATTTTATGTCCTTCATTCATTTATTAATTTTCTTATGTGTGCTTATACTTGGAGGTCACGCAGCTGATTTATGACTGGAAGACATGAATTAGACACTTTTAGTATTTACCTACCATCTATCTACCATTTATCTTTGGTACCTTTTGAGTGAATGTAATGGTAACTGTATTATTTCAACTA